ACGTGCAACCCGACAAGGTGGATGCCAGTCAAACAAATTTCTTTGCTCGTATAGTTCGTTGTAGCAACGAAGAGCAATACGATGTAGACCACACCATCCAACTATCGAACAACGCCTAGTCACCGAGCAAAGAACAAGCCATTCGTATTCCCGTGTCCAATAGTTTATTTGAACACCTCTTTCAAACTGCTTCTATCAGAGGAAATGAAAGGCAAACATGTCATGTGGAGTTGACTTGAGTGCTGAGATTGGTTGTGCTATGATAGTCAGTCGTCTCGAGGGAGCTTCGAGGATCAAGGTGAATGAGTTAGCCAGCATAAGCAAGGCTGCCTAACCTCACACGCAGCGATTTAGTTGTGATTTTCAAAGTTTTGGTCAACATAATTAACAGCTGGCAAATTGCCGTGGCATAACATGTTGGTTTTTACACTCACAATTGTGCGTTGACATGAATGCGATTGGAAATAATTTCCTTATCTTGCATCTTATGACGATGAAAAGGAAAACAATTCTGTATGTTCCAAATTGCTTGTAATATAGAACTTAGAAGGCATGTTTTTAAAACTGTTCTAACTATTAAGCTCCTAATTACTAACAATGGGGACTAACAATTAATTTTCAATCATAAAAATTACTGGAACGCATTTGTCATTTCAATTTTATAGATGGATTTTTTTTGCAATTCTTAAAATGAGCACAATGTCAATGGATACAGGATTTGAATTCTAAGCTATGCTACTTTGTAAAAAAATATCTCACTTGATCGTGAAGTCAAGCGTACGAGCCTTAATTTTATAATTGAAGTTCCTCTGAATGATTCCTTAAATTCGAGAGCTATCCATGGCTGAGATCTACCTATCTTAGTACTGTAGCTGGTCTCCCGATAAAATCAGCTACAGGAATTTTTCTCAAACATATTTTTAAAACATGAATTTTTTATTAATAAATAATAAAAAATATATACATTAAATCGTGACAGATATAAATTATTAAAAATATTTTTATATTAAATAAGTTTTATATATACAGTAATCTTTTATATATTGGAGTAAATTATAAATATCTCGATGACATTAACCTTTGATAAGCAATAAATTAGTTATTACGTGATGAACTTATTTACAATAAAAGAGGGTTGAATTAAATCGACAAGAATAATGGCAGGAAATCTGAGTTTTACTGCCAGTTTATGCTTGGATTATCAGGCAAGAAAATTATCTTAAAATCATATTATTATTCTTTTAAATGATAATATAATGTAGAAATAATAAAATATATGAAAATTAAAACAAATAAAATAAAAAAGCGAAACCTCCTTTGCCAGACTTTTATTTGAACCCTCTTTTGCTTCAACGTAGACCGTTTAATGAAAAAAATTATATTCATGGTACTTTCTAGTTATCAACGAGCTAGCCCTGTATTTGGGAGGGTCACATGATAGCAGACCTTGCACTATCTGACTAGCCTCTTGCACGCATGAGCGAGCACCTTACATTTTGAAGAACAGAAGGCGATCAAAATTAAAAACTACTTCATCACAGATTCACAGTAGTTCAATGGTGTCTTTATCATGCCAACAATTGTCGAAAATTCCGCTAAACTTTAAATATTATTCATTAAAATTTATCCCAAAGATATGAATTAATGATTTTAAGGCAGAAGATACACGTATTAGGAACAGGGTTCGAAAGACATTCGATGATTCGCAAATTCACCGACGCGATGAAACAGGAGAATTAAGTTTGAAAAGTATAATTTCTTCATCATATGTTCTTATATAAAACACCGAAACTTGAACATTTTCTCAGACCAGGGACTGTTCGTTCGGTGGACAGAGTGTTTGATAAACTCACATTTTCTAACTGAGTGTTGTCGAATGCATTCTGTGAGAGAGCAACCTTGAAGCTACACGAGACACTCGGAGTCTATTTACGTGAGTTTCTGAAAGGGAAATGTTTATGCATGACGATCCGAGTTGATCCGGATTTCTATTAAAACGTTCGGTTAAATTTGTTGTGAATCTTCAGTAAAACCTAATTAAGATCGCTCAAGTAGAACCTAATAATTATTGGACATGATTTAATTTAAACCACATTTTAATTTACGATACAATAATACAGCAGGAAAATGGAACAGCTAATGATAACCAGCATTTAAATTTCTAATTCTGCAAATTATAATTGAATAGTCTGTGATGAATTTGAATCATCCTCATAAATCCTGATTATGCGATGCTTTATTCCCCTTTTATGTAATTTAATTCTGAAGTTGTGAACAATAATTTTGCGGTATTTTATTTGCACATTAGGATTTTACAGACATGGAATGATTGCTCTATTTAAGGTGTCATTCGATCCCAAATAAAAATTTGTTACAAACTGTCTCATTCTGAATTATTTAGTTTCCATTACATCTAATTAAAGAATTTAATGGGACACGCAAAATTAAATTATCAACGCTTATACTTTCTCCGAATGTTTCACTTCTAATGAGCGTAAGATAAATTTTTATAAATGAACAAATACAATTTAATATATCTAAAAGTTACTCTATTTATCATTAAACATTTATCTTTTGATTTCAATTCAAATAGTATTGAACGATTACTAAAAAACTGCGGTCAAATGCAAGTCTGCTGTTGAGTTAGTAAAACCTTTTTTATGTCATGGCTTTCCTATACTTTGAAATTAATTGGCAAAATGAAATTGCGTATTATAATAAATGAATGTAAGGTTAAATTTCCAAGTTGATACGAAAACTACACATAAATATCACACTGTGCATGACTTTATTCGATACTTTGGTGATTATTTAATCACTAGATAAAGCTACGGAAAAATATATGTTCAGATTTGAAATGCCTAGCACCATATCGAACCCGGTGGAAGTCTGGTAGCTATTTCAAACTATCGTCAGTCTTGAAAATATCCGATCATATGACAAGATATAGATCTTCCATGAACAAGCCACGAAAAGTTCAAGATTCGGCGACAGGCCCCATCAGGCCTACTCTCTTGCGCCGACATCACCATGTTATGTTATGTTGAAATAATTCATGCGGAAGCATTTAGAATACTAAATTGCTCTTAATACTCAAACTCTTCTACAAACTAGTTCGCTACTAATGATTAATGTTTAGTAAAATTAATGATGATAGCAAATATCGCCATTTTTGTGGATGACACGTCGTCCTTGATACAGAAGACCTTCTGTTACTGTGAATTTTAGCTTCACATTATCATACAAAAGAAGGCGAAAATAAACGAATAGGATTTAAATATTTCATCAACATTATACCTCATAGGCTTTTAAACCTGGTCACACCTAGAACGATGAGAACCTTACTTATGTGACTAACTAGGTACTGTATTTGCTTTAAAAATATCCTAGTCAAGTAGTGGTCTGCTGCGGAATATCTTCCTTATGTTAATTAAAATTGGATCATTATTTCTACTTCTTGCCGGCACGTCATTGCAGTAAAACATTTTAAATTCAGTCTATTTCTACCTAGTACCGAGCGGAAGACTTTCTACTTTCTTTCAGGACGAAGTAATGTCTACATTAATTTTTTTTCGTCGTCAAATATTATTAACAAAATACTCATTTACCTGGGTTCAGCTCATATAGAACTGAACAGGACGTTAGATCATCATGTTGACCAGCACAAGTGTTGTGATCAATTACATAAACTGCTTTGCTCATGGGCTTTGCTCACCTGTGTCCGAACCCATGTTGGCAGACAAGAGAAAAATACTAATTGGTAACTGTCTCAAAATGGTAGGGAAAGTCTGAAATCTATCAAAACTGTTTTTAAAATCTCCTAATCGTGCTTCTATGTACTCAGCATACATTTAAGATCATAAAAATTATGAAGCTTCTTAAGAAAATACCACATAAATCACTGGATTTTCTTTTTCTAGGGACTTTACCAGCTGATGTGTTTATTGGTGAAAATATCGTAATGTAATAAATCGCTGGGAACGACAGCGAACGCACTTGATTGTCTTCGAAACGTACCATTTTTACACAGCACTTTTCTAAACAGGAGGTTGTACGTATCTACGCATATGCGTGTTTATACGAAAAGAATAAATTAAGGCATAAGTCTGAAATCCTAAATATAGGCAAGAAATTTATTTCCATGAAACTGAATTTTCCGAAAATAACTATAAGCAACCGGTTAATGTCGTAAAGAAGCCATGTGAAAATGCTCATAAAAATTCAACATTTTGCATGTATCAATATTTTTTGGTATATCAATTAAACAGGCTACATTACATACCACTACAATAATCTAATCAGTGGATTGAAACAATTGTAGCGTGATATTCCCTCATGTAATTTTCTTTGCATATATGCTGCGTGAATGACGCAGTAAGAACTTACACACAATAAACGGCATAGGTCACGTGCATTCAGAGAACTTTCTGATCTCGTGTCTGAGACTCTGAGTGATGATTCCGCAACATAATATGCATGTTTTTGAAGAGACGCGTCTGTTTATACTTTTTCGGTGTGTCTTGTACGCCATTTACGTTTACTTTTCTTTCTTAGGTCTCTGACAGACAGGGAACTATTTCATGCCAGAAATCTGCGCTGAGCTGAGCGACCTTGCTTGGAGCACAAGTGTGCCTGCCAAAGGCTCGAGAGTTATGTACTAAGATCAATAATTCAAATCGCCAACACGCTTATTTGGTGAATACAGATTTAAGAGTCGATGGCTTGGAATTTTAATCTAGGTAGTTATTTGAAACTTCATGCATCTCTCATAAATCGAACAGGTGCGTCAGCAGGTAGTAATTATGAAAAAATTATTTAAAATTTACCATTAATAGACAAAACGTAAATTGGAAACAATATAGATCAACATATTATAATCAAGGCAAACGTACACCATTGTTACCCTTTATCACGTCAGAATGGCATAGATTCTTCTTGCGATCAACAAAAAAATTGTTTGAAGCCCAACACGTCGATCGGAAGGAATGACAGATTTCATCGAAAATTAAGAATGATATATTTAAAAATGCAAACATTGTTGGAGAAATTTACATTTAGAAGATCAATGAAGGTTATAGAAACTAATTACTTAAAAGATACAAGAACACAGTATTACGGAAAAGCTCTATAAAAGAACAACCGTTGAAGAATATCATAAGTTCAAAATTAATGCCCATGCCATCGATTGTTTGGAGCTTTGGAGACAAATCACGAATCGACTGATGAAAACCACCGCAAGAACGAAACACTGACAAAAAATTCTTAATCCCGAGTAATCCAACAGGTTCTTCTCAAATTACCTCCCCAAAGAGTATTGAAGCCTTAATGTGTCCATGGGATACAGCTCCCTATACAATAAAAGTGAAATTGGAAAATATTACAATTCTACTAATGATCGATTGATATGTGAACTTATTCAACTATTAGTACACTTCAAAATTAAAACCTAAGTTGATAGGCGTTAGGGAAAAAAGCGCACAGATCCGAAAAAATTAATTCTTAAATGAAATCCGACGAAGAAAGTAGATAACACAAGCGACTGGAAACGTTATTGAGGGACTACATGCAACTACGTAAAAATGATTCGTTCAGCTGCAAGTGGGTATACGCGTCGTCATGCTCGTGTTCGGAATACGCCATTAAGTAGCAAAGAATTATCGATACAGGAAAAATGCATCTATGTTTCTCTATGCGCTCATACGCGTCTAATACTGGAACAAAGACTGAATACAGGAAAACTAAATAAGAATACAAAAACAAAAAGTTAAATTAGGCGCAGACAGCACATCAGAGCATTGTACGGTTTCCAGTCACAATACCAGCGGTGAATACACAAATGAGGTTAGGGTTTTCGAGTTTTATTTTTTTCGTTCAGTATGAATGACCTAATCATAATACCAACAGAATATATATATAACATGCTTCACTTGTTCAGCATCTAGTCAACTAGTGTAAATAAGTCTACTGAAAACTTATACGCTTTATTATGAACACATTAAATAATACGATTTCATTAAACACCATGTCTACTGACGGAACTATATAACACGATTTTGTGTTCGAATAAGATAGGTACTAGTGATGGTTAAATTTCTTGTTGAAAAATGTAAAGCTTGATAAATTGGGAATGAACCGTGGTGGCATATTCAATTCAATTCTGAATTGCTGAGTTTAATTGAAGTCCGATAAGCCCATTAAGAATTAACTTAAGGCACGCTCGGGTCAGACAGTGATTCTGCAAAGCATATGATTCAACAAAGCTAGTAACGTGTGTTCGGGGCGAATCTGGCTTACGTTTAAATGTTGCTTGTCCAAAATTTCCTAAAAATGGTAATGTATTCCATAAGATAACGGCTACAATCATTCAAGACTACAAGAATCCATGTAGGATGTAGGAGAACATCGAGGATGAAAATCAGTCTACAGTAAAGCGAATGAATGTACAAGATGCGAGATATTTGTGGGTACAGTGTACGGTAAGAAGAAGTGGCGCCCAACTGCTAGATCATAAAAGAGAAGAATACGAGTACGATGAGGCTAAATACGCCAATATAATTCCACTAACATATATACATTTTTACTAAGGAATATTACCCGAATATATTCACTGCTCAACTTAATCTTAGGAAACAATAAGTATGAACGTTGTAAGAATCATTTGAATTTGAAAGCAGTAAAATAAAATCGAAATAAACATGGGTGCAGCCTATAACAAGGAAATAACAATTATACGTATATTGCATGCAAACATACTTTGAATGAGTCTAAAAAATCTAGTTTACATATCCCACCAAGCCTGAGTCGTGGCGGGACAATATAGCAACCAAACAAAAATTGATGGAATACTTTGAACGCATAGTGAGGCAGCAATGCCAACTAATGATTCTACATTCCGCAAAGCACATTATTAAATTCAAATTCTTACAGAGGGTCAGACTGGCACTTATTGGATACGTTCTGCACGCGTCATGAACTATATATACTCACAGACTGATTAAAAACAATGAACATAGTTATGAGTGAAAGTAATTAGATTGAGACATATATATTCAATATTGTGGCACACAATATCAAGCATGCTAGCAATCTCAGCGTACTGGAAAAGTAATTCGCAGAACCCTTGCATATACGATATACTCTGTTCAACTTTCCACCAAATGTTCTGTGTTCGAACACATTTGGCCAAACTATTCGTCATCCAATGTTGATTCTACTTGAAAATATCAAAACATACGTAAAAATTGTGAGAAGAGTAAAGCAAGCCAGGACGAATCAAATGAACTAACATGACAGCAGCTCGTTTGCAAAATGCAAAAAAATACGAGATAGAATATTATTGATCTCCTGCATTTCAACTGGCGTATTTGCAATAAACACAGACAAATGTGCTATTTGACAGCTGGCCATATGGAAATGAAGGCATGATATCGCCCAATAATAATAATAGTAGAGATAATTGTAACTTCAAACTTCATAGGGAAGCGGACTTCACATCATTAGCGCCATTCCAGAGCAAAAGGTTACCTGGAAATTCAAAAGATTTGAATCACTCCATAACTCAAGATATCAGGGCGATAATATTACAATTAATTACCAACGTATCGAGGTTGTATTTAGTTACATCGCATTCATCCGCGTTAAATTTAATTAAATCAATCCAAGGAAGCAAATATCGATTATTGTCACCGCACCAGCAGACTCTTATGATAAATGAGCTAGAAAGAATCAGCAAATCCGTCGCATCATTGAAAATGGACGCCCATGTTGAGCGGTTGTGAGGCAGCCGATACGCCCTTAAAGCGCTGGGATCATCTCTCATAACCTACACCAATACTGAACTGCTCACGACATACTTCGAATAACTCACAACCGGTGTTGTGAGATTTTAAATTTATGGAATAGATTTACACGTATTAGATCTCACAACAGTAGAGCTCGGCATTCAAAAATCATAATTATGTAGCATACGCATCGATAAGACGAGTCTACGAATTGCCACACTTGTCCCAGGCAAAGCCACATATGGCGGCACTGAGCAAATAAATGCTTATGAGTACGAAGATGACGATAGGCACAGCGAACTTGACGTTGGTCCACCAAGCGCGGCGCGCTACCTCCCGCGACTGTACGCGGAATGTGACGCTCGCCGAGTTCAGGTTGTTGGTCTTGTCCACGAGCAGCTCCAGTCGCTCGCCACGGCTCGTCAGCTCCTCTGCGGCACATGGTAATAAATGTTTTAATTTTGATAAGCTACTTTACAAAAGAGGGTATTTAATTCATTATTTAGCCGCAATTCCTCTGAAATTTATGTTTTCAAGTAAATAATGAAATTATTTTGAGACAATATTAGCTGTTTAACACTATGTTTAAAAGAGAGGTGGATGGAATACTTTCGTTTAAAAATGGCCACCATGGGTTTGCAGCTAATTGGTAACATAGCCAATTATATTGCAATCAAACTTAGAATTGCGAACAGAGTTTCATATTAGTTCGCTATTTCAATCTCTGTTGATTAGTTGTAAAAAACAAACGGTTAAATAATGTAAAAATTCATGTTGTGTGGGAAATATTTCCTCAAATTATACTGCTTGGAGAGAGTAGAAAATGTACACAATTCAACATCAGTAAGTTGATGTAAAAATTTCAGTCTATGCTAGAGTTGTTGCAATTAAGGGAATTAAGAAATAAACATGTTTAAAGGCTTGACCAGAGACATGAACAAAATAAATTCAGTGTAAAGCAAATTATTGAAAAAACAGTGAAGAATAACAGTAGCAAGTGATACCGTAGTATAAATAAAATTGGTTTGAAGGGTAATATGATGAATTTTCAATTCACAGTCACTTATTTCAAACTCATAGACTGTGGCAGGGAGGCCAGAGAATAATTTACGACACGACGACCATGTGCAGTCTAGCATCGTATAAGTGTAACAAGCTAGGGACTAATGTATTAAAAAAAGAAAAAATTACAATGCTCAATTAATTATAAAGAAAAATTATAAATTGATGAAAACTATGTCGGGCAAGGAAAAATGTGACAGGTTCCCACCAATGTTGCGGTCGAGGGTTTGCTGGACATCTTCAAGCTGCAGCTTCATGGTCCTGACGGCGTCCGTGTTAGGGTTGTTGTTGTGGGACTCCATCCTCTGCTCTAGGATCTGTCACCAACATCCTCATCATTATCTTCTCTCTTTGGTAATGTATCACTAGTAGCATTCATTTTCTTTATAGGACAATTTTGCTACAGGTGAAGATTTAATAATGCTGTTTTATTATCAGTTAAGTAAAAAAATTACAAATGCATTTGCTTTAACTGAAGAATCTAAATTATTAAAAGTAATTATCAAAGTATTTATTCTCAAGTTCAGTTGAAATGAACTGCTGTAGTCTTCTATCAAGGAAAAAGTGAACATTGTGGTTGAGAGTAGCGAGAATGACCACTTTAGATGTACCTACACTGAAAATTTCAGAGCATCAGTATTGAATGTTAGCTTTTAATTCAGAACATGAAGATGAAACAAAAATTCATTGAACAAATGATAACAAACCATGCACCTTATAATTGTTTAGAAGAAGCATTTGGTGCAATTGACTTGATACACACCTGCATGAAAATCTAACAAAATCATAATTATGGCAAAAAAAAACAGAGGACAGCTTATTTATGATGCAGGTTTCGATAATTTGATGTTGGCATCCTTTAACAACAATCAACACGTGGCTGTTGATGACATTGGAGCAGGATTTTCTTTATAACAGCAAAATTAAGGCCAGCTATGAAGATGACAATAAAAAAAGTAATGTAAATGAAGCAAAGTCTCACACATTCTCAAACTATTCATTTGGCAATGTTGAAGTACATCATGACATCTTACCTCACAAAAAGAATCATTCCAGGCATAAGGAGTAGCATCTTTTGGACTGGCTTGATAGGCTTCTAGGAACCGAGACTTGATGTCTTCCAGGAATAAGAAGGATCTGTACCGGTCAAATGACTGGGGGCAGATAAAATGAGAGACAGATAAAAAAAAGATATTATTATCAGAACACTCTAGCAAATGATGACCCATGTTCTGCATATGACAGAAGTAAATGGGAGAAATGCAGAGAACTAGAACAATATTTAATACACTTGGAACTGTGGAACTTGGCACTCATCCCTTAGCAAAAAATTAATTTGCAATAAGTTAAAATGCATTCAGACTGTATTCTTCACAAGCTGAACCCAGCAAAAAGCAAAAAATCATGCATACATTATAATTTTATCTAATCAATTACAGAATAAAACCAACAGATGCAGGTGATGCAAAATTCCTTGCAGATACACATAATTAGTAACAACTTTCTCAATTGGTCTTCTTATTCTTCTGAGGCAAACTTGCTTTTCCAGCACATGTATGATTAGGTAAATACCTATAGTATTTCATCTATCTGAATAAGCTATATAGGTACCGTACATCCGCAAATGACAAAAATGTAATCAATTCCATTTTATTATAATTAACCTTCTATACATAGTTAATACTTTGCAGCACTGGTGGCTATGTCATCATTCTTCGCATGAAACTAGATGAAAGCTACTCACGCTATCTGTGATGCAGAGGAAGTTGACACCCGAGCTAATGATGTAATGTATGAGGTATTGGGCATGTGTAAAAGTCATGCGTGGGGCAGAAGCAGGATCACTTGCAACACGGGACAGAACCTGCTCAGCCACATCTTGAAAGTTGCCAGCACATGATGCATATCTGTCACAAGACATCACATGATTAACACTTTCTTAATAATGATCTTTCCATTTAATTGTGTGGAATGATTCAAAATTTAACAAGAAATGTACAAGTACCATGCTAATATCTTGGCTCGTGAATGATTAAACTTACAAAAAAAAAACATAGTAATACAGGCCTAGGGGAAGGTTATATGAACATCATAATTGCAATGTTAAGGATATATCATAATTACAATGTAAGGGATACAATTGAGGTGAGTTCTCAGCCCATAGCAAATACAATGCTTTATTATAAAGACAAATGCAATAGATAACGGTACAGATCCAAAACTGAATGATAATGGAAAACAATGATAGCAGGGTATTAAAGTTGATGATAATGGACATTCTAATTGTTCTGGCATCCACCACAATTAGTTCTAGAGTAAAAAAAAAACATATTTGATCCCATACAAAAAAAATGATTAGGGTTTCATTATGTAACATTAGAAATATTATAATTTACATTATAATGAGAAAATTTACATTACAGGTAACATTGCTAGTATAAATATTAGATTTTGGAGTATTTTCAGTACCTACAAATGTTTACAAGAAATACAAATTTTGGGTTTTGCCTGTCTGAGCTAAAGTTGTAATAGACATTTTAACTAAGTGCAGTATAAATATCTGCTATTGAAAATTTAACACTAACTTTCATTCAGATGCTTAAAACAGGGAAACTTATAATGCAAGCTATCTGACAAACTAAATTTAATGTGGTATATTTACAGGGACAATCCGACAGAAATTACTAGGTTTAAATTATCTTATAAAGCACTCAGGTGAATGCATCTTAACTGACAAAAAATGCTTACCTGGCAAGAACAACTGGGCCCTGAGCTATGGCAGCAAACAAGATGGACATGATTTAAAAGTAGAAGCTACTTTATTCAATATAATTATGTGTCTGCAAAAGGTTAATACATTAAACAATTTTCTGGAATACCTTTATAAGTTTATCAGAGGAATTTTGACAGATGACTTAAAAATACCGTATCTAGACAGATACTAATCTGGGTAACTTTTTTTGAAGGCTTTAGAACTTAAAACTAAATCTGGACTATCTGACAGATGTTTACAAAAAATGCATGTAAAAATGATCATCCAACATCTGATTTTTGAAGGTCGAGGTGAAAAAATGTTACCGGTATATCAACCAATTCATTTGATGACAGCTACAATCATGTCATTGGTGAAATTATTGAAACATGGGTACAGGGCATTTACAGACAAAATGACATATGAAGATCTTGTAATTGACTACAAATTTGCATTAAAATGCATCTCACTGGTATTCTTGGAAACAATTCATTACAGGTAAGTTTGATTTGATGCCAAAGCATCAATAACTATCACAATCAGTAATGCCTGCTACAAAAATTCAATGGTTTGTGGATGTGTCATTCCATGAAATTTTGAACTTCTGCAATTCAGTTCCACTCTTTTGTTAAGACATCCTGAAAGGTGGGTAGGTGGCTATACCAAAAATGTGCTGCCAGAAAAAAAAATGATCTCACAGTTGTGGTCATGCCATTATGTTGCCTTAAGACTATTATATTGCCAAAATATCAAAGAGTAGCTTTGTAAAGATTGTTACTCATGATATTCCCAATTCCTATGGCCCTTACCTACATTTTTTCAGTGAAAATTATATAAATTGGCAAACTTTGGCCAGCAATTTTTGAAAATGAAAATATCAAAGATATAATAATAATAATAGCGGTTTCAGCGTTTATTAGGCTGTAGGCCTGTTGCCAATTCTTAACATCGCAGAACATTCACAGCATTTTGCGGTCTTGAACTTGCAAGTCGCAACTCACTGCTACAATTCTGCTATGCTTAACCGCCGGCGCCCGGCCTCCTTGCCCATTCTGACCAGAAACTGGCGCACAGAGCTGGGATCAAACCCGCGCCTCTCTGCGTCAATCTTGGTACTCTGAACTTTAACCACTGGCCACCCTGCCCAGTGGTTAAAGCCTATGATTATTTTTGCCTAATAATATTAGAAAATTTTGCCCACTATTTCAGATTAGAGACTGAATCACTCACAGCTAGGTGTGGAATGTATCTACCTCATGGGCATTGGGCCATGACTACCATCAAGCATCAATGCATCAAGCTTTGCCACAGCACTTACTGTATGTTGCTGACTCAACTCTCAAGTGGCTTTCAAGAGAAATGACCCATTTCATTAACCAAGCCTTTTCAGCACAATTAAAATAGCATTTTAGCTATAATACCATATGGCAATCAAACCCTACAAATTTTAATTTTAACCCCTGAACAGAGTTATAAAGTTTTTAGCAACAAGCAGCAAGATGAGTGCCATGGTCAGGAAGATGTGCCAGGTGCGCGGAAATTTATTTTGTCATTTTAACGAACTGCGCGGTGTGCCGCATTATGTTGGTAAAAAAATGCGCCGTGCGCCGTACTTTAGAGAGCTAAAATAGTTCTACTATTCTACTATTTTAGTCGACAATATACGCAAGTATATTGACTACGCGAGTCGAACTGACAATAATAAAATGTAAGACATGTCCGGGTTACTTCTGACTCTTCCGGTTGTCCGCCTTGTCAGATACGGAACGTACGGTAATCGTAAACTGCGGCTGTTATACATACGAAATGTAAACAGACGGTGTTCAGTGTTGCCATATGACTTTGGAGAAAATTTCTTCTAAAATAAAGATGGCCGGGATTGCGCGAACACGTGCGCGAAGATAATCAATTTTCATTACATTGCGCCAACTGTGCACAGCAATAGCTTAAAAAATGTGAAAATGCGTGGGAAAATTCACCGAAAACATACATCATCCTGAGTGTGGGATGAGTGCAGTATTGGCCAAGTTGTAGAGTAGCACTTTATGTATGTGTATGTTCTCAACTTCTCATTGATGGTAGAGCTGTCTCAAAATTGTTGGAGCCACAAGATTCCCACTATCATCAATGAGTCATATTAGTCTCATAAGTTGCCAATTAGGAGAAACTGCACATACTAATCTGCTCAATACTGAAAACTGTATAATGATGGTCAGAAATATAACTTTGACTGCAGACAGCAAGAGAAAGAGTAGGCCATTGTTGTGTGTGAGATAGATTCAATAAACTGTCTTCTCACTCTTCTGTAGGTTGGCTTATGCTGACAGATGCAGTATCTTGCTAAGGCATACTTTTTACTTTTTTAGATTCTGTAAGCATTGCTCGGGACCTGAAGGGATGTCATGGCAAGCTTCACAGTGCTCTCCAAGACTCCAGCAGACCTTGCTTTCCTCCCTACATTCATCATCCCACCATGGTGTAGAACTGGTAATGAGTGAGAAATGTAAGGCTTGTGAGAAGTATGTACGTGAATACTAGAGAAAAAATTAAGACAGGGATGTGGAGATGGACTGGGTGAGGAGCTGGATGGGCATACAACAAGGATGCATCCTGTCACCACTTCTCTTCAACATTTACACTTCAGAGATGGATACAAAGGTGAGCTGCCATTGCTGAGGTTTACCAATGGCCAACAACAGTAGCTGAGGTTTACTAGTCACTGTGAGCAGAAATGCAGAATAGATGTTGGTGTGCATGTGGCTGGGCTGAGAACAGGTTAAAAAGGCTTCTGTATGCTGAAAATGCTGTGATTATGAGTGGAAATAGAGGAGAACTACAAAGCATGCTGGACTATGTGACTGAGTATAGGAGTGACTTCAATGTGCAATTCAGTGCAGAGAAGAGCCAATGACTTCCTGCAAATCCATCAGCTGAAGATATGGGCAGAGTCGCCAGAGTGTGGCTGTTGGAACTTGGGATGGAATGAGATTGTTAGGACAAACCATAGTGGCAAAGCAGAGAGTTTTTTAGACTCTCCCTCAAGTTCATTTTTGAGTACTATAAGTAGACCAGTAAAGTATCCTGGATACCAGCATCATCATACATAAGAAATTGGTTTAAATCTTGGATAAATGAGGAAATTAAAAATGAACTGATTCTAAAAAATCTCTGGTTTGTCACTATGGGACAAACAAGTATAGATGCTTAGCCTTGCTTAGGGTCGTTTGTGGACCAGTAGGTGAGGATGTGAAATACGAGGATGTGAAAGAACAAACGACAAGGCCACAAATCTAAGTAAGTCCAATCAATGGTTGGGTACTGGGTAGTGTCATAATAATATGGTATTTTCAATTTTTTTCTTATCCTCCCTCTAATTCTCATTAGGAATCAAGAGGAAATAATTTTTTTTGTGCAAATTCCTACAATTCTGATGTAAGCAGACAGAAACAAAATCCAGGTACGAGGTTAGAGCCTTAGAGGTACCTCCTTGCTCCACACAGTTCACATCTGCTGATATATCATATATGTATAGAAGTCTGTTTACTGGCTTTAAAGAGCTTAGTTTACCACTATCACAGATTCACAGTTCATAGGAGTTTAAGAGACTCAACACTGTAGGGTGTACCATGAAATCAGCACCTCAGCTGTTATAGATCAAACTTACACCACGATTGACGCATTTCCGGTGGTTTCAGGAAAGTGCCTAAAAAATCGGAATAAAAAAATCCAGCCTCTTGATACCAAGATGGACTGCTGTTTTTATGATGAATATTAACTTGAAACGTTTCCCAATCATTAAATAACGATTTCTCACTATTTCATTAAAGATTCTACACTTTTTGCAGCGTACATCATTTCATTGTAATGAGAAGTGGCTCACTCAAATGCGACGTAACCAAAAATGGAATATCATTTGAAATAGATATAATTAGTTTCCGTACCCAATTATCCAAAATTACAATTATCCAAAATTATGTTAGCAAAGATCTAATGTAAATAACTACTATGATCTTTGTTAATGGTACGCGTTACGTTAACCCTAGATTGTAGATGAAATCATAAAAAAGTAAAAAATGGTAGGTTAAAGAGAAGACACTCAACAAGATAATTTAATGGAAAAAATACCAATATTAGCTCATTTGTATTCATCATAAAAAACAGCAAGGTTGTCGTACTGTCAAATATTTTCAGTGTAAGGAATCAGACCAGAGGAATGATCAGAAAATTCATACGATCACGTAACATAGATCATCAATCTATACTTCGGAACGAAAGACAATTCAGATTATAATTTTAGAAAACACGCATAGGAAACCCCATGCTGGCCAGCCATGAATGAAAGTCAGCTGACGAGTAAACATAGCCAAAAACAGACGGTAAACAATTTCCTTAACACAGTAGTTTTTTCATTACTAAGTATTCAATGATTTAGTATCTCACACGTTTTAGTGTCTCCATCTCACTTTTTATGACAAAAAGAAAAGCACAATTTGACTAATGGTGAAAGTATGCGTGATTTAGTTGTAGGTCATATAGCGAGGAGTGGCAGAGAACTTGGCGTAAGCTTTGATGACTTTGTTGACTGCGTCTAGGAAGTCTTTCTCAGTAGCCACCTTCCTCCTCGCCCTGATCGCGTACATACCAGCCTCTGTGCACACCGACCGGATCTCGGCTCCTGTGACACCCGTTCAATCATTGATTACTGCCTCAATTTAAATCTTACTTCCTACTCCGGTTGTAGAACAAAAATATACTAGAGAACGTTTTCAATTACAATAATTCCCAGTGATTTCAAAGACTTACATTATACCCATTAAATTTGGTATGCTTAAAAACATAAAAATGCTGGTAATATTTACCAAATGACATTAGTCGAATTCCGAAGCAGATGTAAAAATTTTGGTTGATCTTGTCAATAACTACAGAATGATAGCGATAAATTTGCTGTTAAATAACATTGATTTGAAGCAATTTTAGGAGTTAGTGGCAGGAAGAGGACTAAAACATTGTGAATTGAAAACTAAAATTCTCGCAGTATTGACCGTAACCTGCGTAAACCTGGTTCCAGAAACTAAATGTTTTTATTTGTATTTCGAGCACAGTTACAAAATAACAGATTTATAAACTAAAGCAAAGTTCAATCAGGGAAGAAAAAAATAAAAAGAGGTTAAACATAAGGTTTTCAAATGAAATTCACTAGCCGATGTCTTACCGGTGCTGTTAGGGCAGAGGCGGGCAAGCAGATCAAAACGGATGTCTCTCTCTACGCTCATGCTTTTGGCGTGGATGCGGAAGATGTGAGCGCGGCCTTCCAAATCGGGTAAGCCAAACTCTACTTTGCGATCAAGACGTCCAGGCCTCATCAGCGCAGGATCCAAAGTGTCCGGCCTGTTCGTGGCCATCAAGACCTGCTCGTGCAAATTGAGCTAGTGAATGCACCTCCGTTGTTACTTTCATTTCAAAACTGTAAGTTGAAATATTTCCCATCGATTTGAATGTTATATTTTTAGATAGATGGGTTTAGGCACATTATATATATGGAAAATACGTTCTCACAACAATGCCTAACGGCATAAGGTGGAGGTTCCAACTAGGTGAGAAGGGTGATATATAACCGACGTGGTGAGCTGAACTAAATTTACACTACTGACATCGATTAGTGAATTAATGAAGCTTAACAAATAATCAGATGCACTGTAACAAGGAACACTGGTATTCCGCTAAATCGGATCAGTGCTGAACATATTCTTGTGAAAGCATTACAAACACGAAACAGTTATATACCTTGATGTTGCCCCTAGGGTCGAAGCCGTCCAGCTGGTTGATGAGCTCCAACATAGTCCTCTGGACTTCATTGTCGCCACCGGCACCGTCATCGAAGCGAGCGCCGCCGATGGCGTCGATCTCATCGAAGAATATGAGGCAAGCTTTCTTGGTGCGCGCCATCTCGAACAGCTCCCTTACCATGCGCGCCCCCTGAACGCGAGGGAGAGTTGCGTCAGTGGGGGGATGCGTTAGTAGGGGATAATTTTGTGCACTATCCCTTATCTCTCGAATTATCTTTTGACTTTTTACCTCAAGCACGTATGCCTTTATACAATTTTATAACTGCGGAATCATCTCATCACACACTCATCTTGGCGCCCACACAACTTTTTGCATATGTTACTTCACACCCATTAATTTTCAATTGCCCGAATTCTCATCTCGACCATATTCGTAGACACCATTATTTGTTCGACATCTTACATCAAACACGCTCGACCACAAATTTTTTTTCTGGTCAACGTATCCTTCGCACATCCACACTCTCATTCTCACGTCTCACTTCCCCACGCTCACCTACATTACCTACTAGGGCCTCACGTCTCACCCCGCCGAAGAATATCTACACTATTAGTGACAGGTGCCTCACCTCGCCTACGTATTTCTGCACTACTAGTGACAGGCGCCTCACCTCGCCTACGTATTTCTGCACTACTAGTGACTGGCGGCTCACCTCGCCCACGTATTTCTGCACCAACTCTGAGCCAATGACCCGGATGAAGCACGCATCGGTTCTGTTAGCAACAGCGCGAGCGCACAAGGTTTTGCCCGTGCCTGGAGGCCCGAACAGCAGCACACCTTTGGGCGGCTCAATACCCAGGTTCACGAAGCGCTCAGGCTGCGGTTAGATAGAGAAATTTAAGAGAATTTTGGATGCAACTGATCTGTAGTTACTCAAATGATCATTGAAAATTAAATGAAACCTCGAGGAAAATAGATTAGAGGAAACTCAGAAGGTAAATGTACTGAATATAATAATAACTTGTGAATGCAGATGGACATATGGAATAACTTGTGAATGCAGGTTCAAGATGGCAGACAAAAGGAAAATATGATGAAAATAGTGAGAATTAAATACAATTTGATATCCGTTTTTGTTTTATAACTCTTCGAGGATTTGAGAGAATACTTAAAACATAGTTTCAACTAGACATCTACAGTGTTGATTCATTTAGATCACAAATAAAGATGTAAAAATGAGAAGCCAGTCGGAATTATTGAGAGAACTCATTAATCAGTAAAAACTAACTGATTAACTGGGCAGAATCTAGATTAGCATTCACTAAAGACAACTCAAACTCCGATTGATTTAGTAATAGCGTCACAAGTTAATGTGATCGAATTCCATTCAAGGAGTTAATATGATCATCTTGAGTGAAGTGAATGCAAATGTGAATGACTCAAGTCATAAAACTTACAAGAAGTATGAGCAACTGGCGGAAAACGATCTCTGTAGCTAAATAATCTTGTCAACGACAGTCATCTAAACCTAGGTATGATTTGCTGTGTCATACAAGCTTTATAGTTGAAAGAAGTTAGAGTTTTGAAATGTAAAAATAACAAAAAAAAAATATAACATGCTACAACAAATAATGCAGGATAGTAAGGAGCACTGACATGCAGCAAGGGAGTTTCGACGACCTCCCTGAGCTTCTCAATTTGCTCCTTACAGCCGCCGACGTCTGAGTACGTGACATCAGGCTTCTCCTCCACCTGCATCATCGTCACAGAGGGATCGATCTTCGGGGGCAGGGGGATGTGAATCTGGTACTTGTTTCGATCCACCCTGGCAGGTGGAGGAGAAATATTCATTACTTTCAGAGCTTACATGTGATATAAGAGTACATCTTAGGGGTCAGGGTGGGGGAAATCCTGCAATTGTTTCAATCTAACCTGGCACATGGAATTTATTTATTTTTTTATTTTTAATTTTATATGAATACCAGATTCTATGAACTGACAATGGAGTTGGACTCCAAAACATTTTCCATAAAGATATGAATTTTCGTGGAATTTTCTTTGCTTTTAAATTTTTAGTAAACTTGCAATTTAAGCAAATAAGTGACATAAATTCTTTAATGAAAGCTTTAATATGGTAGGTACATACAGACAGATTTATTTTTGGAGGCCAGAATGGGGAGAGTAGAAAAGCTATTTTGGTTTACCCCAACAGTGGCATGAAGAACACTTACCAGTACCTACCAAGAGCATCCATACTTAATGGTTAGATCCACTATAAATTTTATTAAAAATTTTCTTCATATTCCAGATTTGCCTTGAATGCACTTGCTAATTTAATTCATGCAAATTTTTGCTTGTGAAGAAACTTGAAGACTATCATGTGAGTAAGGCTGAGTGTCGATAATGGAATCATTCCAAATAATATGAAAAAGCTTTGAAATTATTTAAATGAAAATCTTAAACAATCATCCTAAATAGCGTTGATGGTAGACTAATACTAAGTAATCTCCGTCAGCAAAATTATTGATGACTCTCAAAATGAACCAAAACAATTACAATGTTATTGCTGCACACAAAATGCTTACTATTGCTTTGCCCAAAATCATTGCGGAAGTTGAAATGATCATCAATTTTCAAGAACTGGATAGCAAAATACCAAACAAAATTTAAATGATTAACAAAAATTATACTTTGTAAATAAAGCTTGGCTCATTTCTCTCAACATAAATAAATAATGTCCTAAATGATGTCTCACCCCACTCTCATGCCTTCTTCTATGTCGGTGGGAGCAACATTGTCAGCCAAGTCAACCACAAACTTGGCAAACTGTTTCACATTGATGATGTACTTAGGATCATCAGAATCAGCATTGATAATCTTGGTGCATCTGGCAACCTGAAAAACAATGCTGAAGTTGTTACCAAGAACTTGATAAAATGAACATTATACTCAGGCCACAACCAATACTCCAATATGAATTGTAAAATAAAGTATTAGGGATTGGACAAAGAAGAAATGTCTTTCATAATAAAAAACACCACAAAATAAGAATTCTTTGAATTTTGATTTATATAATCAGAATGTTATGAAGTATGTTGTTTTTCTATTTATTAATGCAGCACAATTGAGGGTATAAACTTAGATAGTTTTTATCTTTGGAATTGCCCAGTTAGGGCATCAAGCAGGAGATTTTCTAGAGGCCTAAATAACCAAAAAGTACATACCAGAAAATTGTATTCATTCACAACATAATAAAATGTATCTAAGCAGTATTTGTATTAATCAATAGTTATTACAGAGATCTTACCTGTAGAGGTTGATCATTTTGTAATGTTTGTTTGTCAGCAGCTAAATCCCAAAGAGCTGGAGGGGCCAGCCCAGTATCAGATTCTTTGATGCCTGTGAGCTCATTGACTCGCTGCACTGTCTTTGTGATATCCTCTTCCACAGTCTTGATCTGCTTTGTATATGGCCCTTGCCCCTATAAAGTAACATCAAACATAAGTTGAGTTAATGTAGGTAATTCAACTCTTGGGAACAGTTTAACAGACACTTTCAAGCAAGATGATAATAAAAAATCGAATGAATTACAGCAATCATGGCTTGTGGCAATACTGGTTTCCTCTCAATGCACAGTATTTTTTTACACAAGACAAGAGAAAAAAAAACTAATTAAATATATAGAGACATCACTCTGCAAGCAGATGAAAATTTTAATAATCTTGGAATGTTTAAATGAATTCAGGGTATAGAATTGATATAGATATATAGTCAATGAGAATACCAGTTCTTTGCCCAGCATGAAAATATTTATTGGAAAACATCTAGCTTCATGCTTGTAGTTGACCATTTGTTTTTTAAAATAATTCAAGAAATTAGTTGGAACAATTGCCGAGTAAGCCATTAAATGTCGTGACATAAGCAAGATTGTCTCATAAGGAATTTTGAGCCATAATTGATTTGGTCCCATAGAAGAAGAAAAAGTTTCTAATACATAAAAATATGCTATTTACTACATAAGATAACTATGAAAAAATAAAAAATGCTATATATGTGAAAACAAGCTTCAAAGGTTAATTAAATTTATGAACTATAGATGGTAAATTTTGTAATAGTTGTATCTTCAAAAGCAAGTCTACCTTGAGCCATGAACTCAAGTACAATATCAAGACATTGACACACACAGAAAATGAGTTTTTAAAAGGAGATTTTGGGCTTTTTTTTTTATATGTATACATAAATAAGCTGTATGCCACACCCCTATAAAAATTTTATGCCTTTGTGCCTGAAGAAAATGTAGCTTTGAAGTAGTTGTATATTCTTTTTCAAGAAGCAATGTTGAAATTACTGGACATCCAAGTTTAATGCTAATATTGCTTTTATTTGGCCCATGGAAAAGACCTTACACAGTGACATGGCTGCAACAAATGTATCTACACTCCCCCTATAATTTTCTTCAGTGACATGGCTGCAACAAATGTATCTACACTCCCCCTATAATTTTCTTCAGTGATATGGCTGCAACAAATGTATCTACACTCCCCCTATAATTTTCTTCATTAGATTTATAAACCTTAAACTCAGTAGAGCCTAGTTTGAAAGGAATATGGAGTATATGGCTCTTAAATGCAATCAAAATCAGAAACAACACTTGTTCACTTGATGCTGAATCAGCCAGACATTACAAGCCAAGAGAAATACTCACATATGATTTTAAGAGAGAAATGTCAGCTTCATCCAATGCTGCACAAGATAGAAAATAAGTTGTTAAAAATAGTGTTATATAATAAAATTTTCATAGAAAAGACAGTGAATTCAATTTTTGATACTTGAATAAGAAAAAAAAATCACACAACATAAAAGATTGCCTAATTTTGCATGTCACTGTCAACAAGAAAAACCTATATCAATTTGAGGATAAAGAAGGTAAAGTAGGGCTTTTTTACCCTTTTGGCAGGCAAATTACTATTTATGATTACTTAAAATTGCCTCCCAAGAAGACCAGCCAACAGTATCTACTTTTAGTTTGTGGCAACATTATTATTATTGCTATTTCAGCAATAATCTTACCATTGTTTCATAAATAACATTTACTATGGCCAAAAATTATAAGATTTATACAAATTCTGAATGGGAGATAGGAAAAATGAAACTGAAGCTCTTTTAGTATTATTTTCTAAAGATAGAAGTAGCAATATCTATTCCATAAATTGAACTAACTTGACAAAATTAAATGAAATTGAGCATAAATAGTTGTTCTTTACTTTTAAATGTTTTAATTTGTATTAAAATTTTTTTTTAGCATAGTAATTTTCTTTAAAAAAAAAAATTTAGAATAATCAATATATTTAAACCTGAGGCTTAGGTCAATTGTAATCCATAGATTCATTAGATTGCATGTTACGATTGATATGACTAATGACAGATGGTGAGAAATAAATCAGGACAGTCATCCAACATTTCATAGGAATATTGCAGCAACTAAACTAACTTGAATATTGCAAAACTAAAAATAGTGACAAAGTTCAAAATTTCTCCCATCTATGTAGCATATATAAAGAAAGTCAAGAGATCATACATTTACTACCTCTAAAAAATCCCAGAAAAAAGTTTGGAAGACGAGATTCTGGGTGAGTATCTCTGCTAAGGTCTGTAGCAAGAAAATATTTACCATTTTAACACGTTGACTCCGAGTGCTGCATCTTGTACTGTTATTTCATTTTTTTGTACCGTTTTTAAACAGGGTTGCCAGACGTTAATTTTTTCCAGACAAATTCTGTGATTTATTTTTTCTCAATTGCATTGGCTGGCTAAAATTTACAATAGGGGTACTTCCTAATTAAATTCTAAATACTGCAAAAAGAAAATAGATGGAAATTTTATAGCGGAACCTACAAATAAACTTGTACCGGTATATATTGAGTTATTGGCCTTTTTATTGCATTTCCCCATTTATGAAAAAAATGCATTATTGTGCTCGCCATGTCCATCTGTCCGTCTGTGACTTCACGTTTTTGTTGACGAGAAAATGCCCTCTCTGTCACTCACTGCAGTGAGTACCATGTTATATTTTTTGTTCTCTGATTTGACCAATTTTATGCTACCTGAATTATGTACCACTTCGGAGTCAACATGTTAAACATTTTAACTTATATGAAAGTGGCACACAGGTGTTGGCTTAAAAACATGAAATTGAAAGAATTTGTGCAACTCATTCCAAAAAATGGAGGCCTTTTTCGCATGATGGAGCAATAAGGGATTCCACAGTAATAAGGGACACCCCTAAAATGCATTTACAGTGGGGGGAAATAAATATTCGTACACTTGAAAAATCGTATTTTAATGTATGTAAGTACACAAAGTTAACAGGAAAAGTGATTTAAATTATGTATAGAGACGCATAGTATTCAAAAATACTATCAAAAGAAATTAAATCTCAATGCAACAAAAAACAATGCAACATGTTCACTTTTCGTGTGAAAAAAGTATTCGTACAAAACAATAAATCCGCATTATTTTAATTTAATACTTGGTTGAATACCCTTTATTCAGCTCAACAGACACCAGTCCATTTCTATACGTCTTGACCAATGATTTGCAGATGCTGACTGGTATTTTATACCATTCTTCTTGGCACACCACCTTAAGATTCTCAATGTTTGTTGGGGACCTTTTCTTAATTTGAATCTTCAAATACCGCCACACAAACAACTAATTCTATCGCGTTGGAAGGAAGGATAAAGTTATAGGAAGATTGCTAGCCACTTGAATGTTCCTTTTAGTACAGTTGCTTCGTTCATTGGACGCTTCAAGACCCGTGACAGCGTTGAAAACCAAAGACGATCAGGTGCTCCTAGGAAGATTTCTGCACGATTTGCTAGATTATTGGGACGAAAAATCCAAGAAAATCCACAGATTACTCGAGGAGAGTTGCAAAGTCACCTGAGTGCCTCAGGAATTCAAGTAATCAAACGAACGATAAGCAATGAACTTCACAGAAACGAATTAAAATCACGCACCCCAAGAAAGACCCCACTCCTAATGAAACGACATAGAGATGCCATGCTGAAATTCGTCAAGGAGCATAAGGACAAAGACTATGCTTTTTGGGAAAAGGTTCTTTGGACAGACGAAACAAAAATTGAGCTTTTTGGTCGAAATTATTGTCACCATGTGTGGAGGAAAGACGGTGAGTTTGGTGTAAGTGAGTGAGTTTGGTGTGTAAAGTTTGGTGGTGGCAACATCATGATCTGGGGCTGTTTCTCTCATGTTGCATTGTTTTTTGTTGCATTGAGATTTAATTTCTTTTGATAGTATTTTTGAATACTATGCGTCTCTATACATAATGTAAATCACTTTTCCTGTTAAGTTTGTGTACTTACATACATTAAAATACGATTTTTCAAGTGTATGAATATTTATTTCCCCCCACTGTATATAACCTCACAGTTAGCAAAAGCTTCAGTTAACAAAGAAATCAATTAACAAGGAATTTTGATTACATTTACCTCTCTCAGCAAAAAAATGTCAGTTAATGAAAAATTAATGCATCACCGGTCATTACAAAATTGTGCATAGAATGGCATAGATAGAATTGTGCACTGGGCTATATAAAATTAAAAGTAATCAACCTAAACTATTATTTATTTCTCCAAAAAATATGATAGTTGTCACTAAAATATTTCTTTTTGTTTCACATATGTTTTTCACAATTTTCTTTTGTTATAGTGAATTCACTTGACCCAATTAAAATGGTGCAAAGTTACAAGCTGTCCTGCAAGTTTACAGATACAGAAGAAATGCCATACAGCTGCTGATATAAAGCTTGCAGTGGACAAGGTCATTGTAAATGCTCAATGGCATGTCCATGGATACGATAAATCGGTAATATCACATCAATAATATGGTAATGTATGGATATGGTAATAACATATCAATTATAGAAAAACAAATAAAAATCACAGAAAATGTCATTTATCCTACATCTACATCATCTACAAAGAGAGAGGAGGACTTCAGAGTACTGTTAGTAATGGATGAGTACACTCAGTATGCTTCAAACTTTTTAAAATCAAGTTTTATTTCAAGTGTCTGTCATTGCCCCATTTCTAAGTTTGCCCCCCAGTTCAGGGGCAGCCTTTGGTTGGCCCCATATAGTCACATATTCATGTTTGCCCCCAAGTTGGGGGGAAAAGTCCTATTTATCAGTTATCACAGCTCTAATATCATATAATTTTAGTACGTATGAAATCTTGCGGCTCTGATGTCAAGTATTTTTGTTTGATTGATGAAATCGTGGTTTGCACTTTGAAAACATGTCATTACATGAAATTTTCAACTTCCGCAATCCACAGTACTCCGCAATCCACAGTACATACACAGTACACGCTCCTGCTAAAATATCCTGCATAACGTCATGAAAAGGAGTCAACCCAAAACGTTTAGTTGAAGATCCCATAGTTGCGGGCACATCAGAGTGGTCAGACTGCAGTATCACATGTTCATGCAGATCGTAAATGGCTCTCAAGATTGCAGATCGTACATGGCTCTCCATGGCCAATGATGGCCATGATTAGAATTTAGGGCTTGATGAAATGGAATCACCACTGGTGAATCCATAAAACCATGGCTTAAGCATGGAAAGGCCAGGAACTTTCCATTTTCAGTCCATTATTTAATATATGTTAATGGATATCCCCTTCCACCAGTGATTGGTTGATGGGATTGTGATGTCTTCCTATCCATATGTGATTCATTGTGTCCAAATATGGTATGTGTACTGGTTATGGTTACTGTCAACTGGGGTGACTTTGGCCACCACTACAACAGAAACAAATGGCAGCAAAACAAACTGATAAACATTGGCCAAAATGACTGGGAGTGGGGTGACATTGGCCACTGGGTTGACTATGCCCAATGTTTATTATTTTGTTTTGCTGCCTAAGTTTCTGTTGTAGTGGTGGCTGGAGTCACCCCTGGTGGCCAAAGTCACCACGATGATGGTAACTTGATACTTAAACTAACTCAACTTAATCATTAAAGGCCCTGGAAAATTTTCAAAAATTCAATAAACAGAAGAGAGATAAAAAAATGTCAATCAAACAAGAGAGAACTAAAGAATTCTATAACAAATATACACAATTGTTTCAGTCTGTCCACAAGGTACTACATAATTGAAACAGTCTGTCCACACCTAGCAGAGTACTGTATCTAAGGAAAGCTTTCCACCCAAGGTGGAAAGCTTTATCAGAAGTCAACTTCTATTCCTACAATTCCTCACTGCCAAATAGGTATATTCCATATCTGTTGGTGCCTGGTCCCTTACAAATAGCATATGGAATTTTTTCGGAGATGCCATGCAATAGCCCTCATAAAGACCTTTAAAATGAGCCTAACTAATCTTGTTTATGAAAGGTTTCATAATAAGATGTTATTAACAAGAAAAAAAGCTCAAAACTGTCTCTTAGGGTAAATACACCATATTCTGACACCTTAAGGACGCCGCAAGAAATAAATGGCTATAAATAAATAAATAGATCACCGTATGCGCAACTCGAGTTCTGATTGGTTTATGTCACTCTCACAAAACACCACACTATGCGCCAGCAATGATGAAATGTCACAAACTGTTGCCATATTCATTTAAAAGCCTTTAGAATTAAAATCTACAAAATTGCTGAATTCCGACACTGTGTGTGACTAAATGCAGCACATTGTGAGACTAATTCCGACACCGCTTCAAAATCGTAATTCCTAATTTTGACACCCTGTGTTGGAATTCTGACACACTGTGTGAGCTGTGTCAGAATATGATACCCTGTGTCACGGCTCTGACGGCTGTTTGTGTGTCGTAATTCCAGCACTGGGTCAGAATTAGTTTTTATGTGTCTAAAACTGTCTCTTAAATCAATCATCTATTAATTTATTTACCACTTAAAATCAGCAAATATACAAGTATACTTGAAGGATTCCTAATATATTTACAGACTTATTTAAAAGTCTCAAACCATAATATTCTTTCTACACAAACAGTTTATCGCTATTTAGTAAAGCAAGGTTGACTATCAACTTTCATACGTGTTTTCGATGTTCTCACTAGTTGACTTGGACTTTCACTCTGCAGATCTTAACATTTTCCTGCTAGACCCTAGTGTTTTGCAGGAATCTGGCACGCAATAGTATGATGTCACTATTTCAACCATCTAGGGTAAACGCGGTATATTCCGACATCGTAGGTAATTCAGTCACCTCTCCAGCTTTTCCTTTATATTAAGCTTTGTTTTAGTTCCATGCGTTTGTTGATGGTTGAAATGGTGACGTCATGCATTTGCGAGTCAAAATACTGCCAAAACACTAGGTCTTGGCCATCTAGTGGGAAAATATTGAGATCCAAAGAGAGACAATATATGCCACGTGGTGAGATCATCGAAAAATGTGTCAAATTTGACAGTTGACATGGCTCTACCAAATAGTGAATAACTGTTTTTATAGGAAGAATATTATGGTTTGATAATACAGCTCACACAGCAAACGGAATTCAAACACGTGGATGTCGGCAATACGTATCAGTTAAATTTGAAGCGCTGACGCAATACGACTAACCACGTGTTGAATATTGCCACACAAAGTGACGGAATATAGGGATTTGGTAGGTTTCCATTCTAAAGGCTTTTTAATAAATATGGCAACATTTTGTGACGTTTCATCATTGCTGACGCATAGTGAAGTGTTTTGAGAGTCATGTGAAGGCAACAGAACTTGCGTAACGCATACGGTTTTTTTTTATAGTTTTTCATTTCTTGATGCGTCCTTAATGTGTTGGAATATACCGCGTTTACCCTACGCATGCGTGGAACTAAGACCAAGCTTAATATAAAGGAAAAAGTTGAGGGGTGTCAGAATTACCTACAGTGTCGGAATATGGTGCGTTTACCCATAGTGACAAACCACAGATTTTTTAGAATCTGTTCATTTTTAATTTCCTCATTTACTCAAGATTTAGACCAATTTCTTATGTATGATAATGCAGGTATCCAGGATACTTTACTGGTCTACATATAGGACTCAAAAATGAACTTGAGGGACTGAGGGAGTCTAAAAAAACTCTCTGCTTTGCTACTATGCACCCTATCGCCCCTTTTGATGCTATAACTGGATTAACTGCAATTAAAAAAAAAAATTCTGCCAAATATTTTAAATAGGTCCTATAGATAGGGCCTACCGGCCCATTACTGGCAAATTTTGAGGCATATAAAGTTATAAACAGTATCTTGCTTTAGTTGCTTACAAATTTGCTAAAGTCTGCATCCTGAAAGTGAAATAATACCTAATGGCACCATAGTGGCAAAGCAGAGATTTTTAGAATCAGTTCATTTTTAATTTCCTCATTCATTCAAGATCTAAACCAATTTCTTATGTATGATGATGCTGGTATCCATGATACTTTACTGGTCTACTTACAGGACTCAAAAATGAACTTAAGGGAGAGTCTAAAAAACTCTCTGCTTTGCCACTATGAATGGCACTGCATTTTATTGAGTGCAGCACCAGCACAGCACTAAAGGGCTAAGATACTAATCTTAGCCTCTTAGGATTTAAGAACACGATTGCTTGCAACTTAATTCCAGATTTCCGGCTCTGCCTAATTTTCCAGAAAGGCTCAGCCACAACCACTACCTTTCTCTTCATTTTTGGACTGCACAATTTTAGCTAGATCTACCATGAAAAATATCTATTCCTGAGTCAAAATTGTGACTGGATTTTTCAAACCATGAGTTATAGTATTTTTTATCTGTTTTTTTTTTAAATTATTTTTGAGCAGTTAATTCTTTTTTCCAGACCGTGTAGCCTACAGCAATTATTGAGCCGCTAAGTTAAAGTTAGTAACTTATTTGCCAAACGCAAAACTGCAAGTTCAATAGGTAGCCAAGCCATTTATTTACATAATTATATTGCACACATAGTCACATACTATGCCCACTCAGGAGAAAATTCCAAGAATTGTAGTTCATAGAATCAAGCTAAATCCAGTCTAGTTTCTCAATTGGTTTTAATAAATGAGTTAGAGAAGAAAAGTCTAGTTTCAAGTTTTCTAATGCAACATGGAATGAGCACCCATTCATAGGCTATTTTGCCTCGCTAAATAATACTTATCAAAACTATTACAGACCTGTAATTTTTTCTTCTTCTTCATTTTCAGGTTTTACTTTTCTCATATCAGAACCTAAATGGTCAGGCATTGCGAAGTGAAATAAATTATTGCCTGCTAACAAATATCAATGACAGGAGCAATATCACACTAAACTTTTTCTTCCGAGTCAGCAAGTATAAATGTAAACAAAATTCACAAACTTGCCAGAGCTTCTAGATTTTTATTCAAAATGTAGAAATTAAACAATAAAAACGTCAATTTTACCGTTTTAATAATTTATTCATTGATTCGAAGCAAATCATGAATTCAAAGTTCGTAAAAAATTCATATTTTGCCCACGCTCATATATATATAAGGGGGAAGGGGAAACACTCAAACGAAAAAGTAGGGAGTAATCTCAATGGAATATTTCACAGAGGATTCCAACGCCGATATGTTTATTGATAGATCTTTTTGCAAGCTCAAAAACTGGAAAGGGTAGAAATCTATAACAATTGCTACTATATTTCTTTAAACTACCAGAGAATACTCATAGAAGTGTCGGCGTTGAAGAAATAGGCCCATGGCCTGTTGCCGATTCTTGAACTTTTCGTGACTTGATTCACAAGGGATCCGGCCTTTGGAACCCGATCTTTCCATAGCTGAAGATTGATTGAGATAGCTGCTAGACTTATTGCCTGGTGCGTAATTTGCCAGGCATTTTAAGACTGAACATATGCTCCTGCATAGCTTCGTCTAGTCTGTTCTTGAAGGCGTTCATGCTCGTAGCGTCAACGATGCTATCAGGGAGGCTGTTCCACATGTCGGTGACTCGAAGCGAGAAGAAATGTTGTCGCATGGATGTGTTCCAACGCTGCTTTTTTAGTTTATAGCCGTGGCCCCTGGTGTTGGTTCTTGTTTCAAATTCTAGTAATCCTTCTATAAGCCATGCGTATACTTGTATACATACTTCAATGAGGTCCCCACGCAGACGTCGATAACGGAGGCTTGGAAGCTTTATAATCTTTCCTCATAAGACTTGCCTTTCAAGCCCGGAACTATCCTTGTTGCGCGTCTTTGAACACTCTCTACTAAATTTTTGTCCTTTTCAAATTTCGGTGACCACACGACGTTTCCAAACTCTAGGTTCGGGCGCACGACAGCAATAAACAACTGCTTCATCGTTTCTACATCTAGGAACTCGAAAGAAAATGAAATCAGAGCGAAATTCCGAATTCCTATTACTATAACTGATGCCAGTGGTCGCAACCAATGAAAACAATGTCATCAACAGTCATGCAAACGACTACAAGAAATGCGCTGTCCTAAGATTGAAATTAGGCCACAATTTTGCTTTAAATTCAGGTAGTTAAATGGAGCGACGCACATATTAGCTTCGCTCGATCTAATTCGACGAAGGCGTTATGCCACCGATAATAGCTTATTCAGTTTCTGATGTCATGCTCACCCCTAAGAGAGTTTTACAAGAATAAAGAATAGCACAGGAAAGATTATGTAACATGATTCAAAGATTAGACCAACAAAAATGCCGATTATTAACGTTACTATACGGTAATGCTTTTGTTTCCATTGGCATTAAAACCTACGAACCCTGCAGCTTTGTGCCCTCGGTGTGCCGGGATCATTCTACAGGCAATTCGAAACGCCAGAATTAATTAGCATTTAACATATTTTTATTAAACTAATATGATAGAAAGCAAAAAATGTCATTTTTAAAGAGAAGGCAGGTACAAAAGGCGCAGGATGTCCAGTTTCAAGACTCGTCTTCTGGTGTCATAGAGATGGGCGTGAGGGTGTCTTTGAGTCTCGTAACGGCAGTCTCGACGATACGACATAACTTGGCGTTGTCAGATGTTACACTCTGAAATTAAGAGAATTTTTTATTAAAATTCGATTGAAATTCTTGAATTGTGATCAAATTATCAACATTGAATTCTGGACCGAAAGTTATAAAGATTAGAATATCGCTGTTAAATCAACCAAATCCTGAACTTGCAGATTTGCGCCCCATCACATGACAAGTTCATACATTTCCTGAGCTAAATGATATCACCGATGCCAATGAAGTTGCTTTGGATATCCAATACTCCTTTTAATCTATTTTCACATTGACATAGTGCACCTTGGGTATCTTGAAAGCCATGGCCGGCACCGACTGGAGGCTTCTCAAATTAGGAAATCGTTGTCACCTACAGGATAATCACGTGCCCAATACTTTACTACGCATAACGCAATTCAACTCCTCGCGCACCGCAGTAGCAGGCCTTCAGAACTTGGCCTCGAGGTTAGCTAACGGATGCCTCATAATTAATTCAATCTATCACCTTCATATCAGAACAGGAGTATTTCCGCAGTTCACCCCCTGAACCTCGCTTGTTCACAATTGAGCAAGTACCTAATGCATGCAACAACGGCTTTAACTACCTACGCCAAAGTAAGCCCTCAGATACTCAAGTTGGAGCATCTCAGATCTGGTAATCGAATAGCTAAGGCTTGGCCGACGCTCATCAGTAAATAAACTGAACGTATCAAAGTATTGTTGCAAACGCTAAAGTTAGAAAGCTTGCAGAATACGACAGAGATAATTGGTATAAGTGAACAATGCATATAATCGGCGGATGTTAACCTCACCAGATTGCTAAGATCGATGTGCGCCTTTTCTCCATTGACGGTCACCGTGAAATTATCGCCTTTAAGCAGCGGAGGAACGCAACCTTCGCCGAACATTTCCTGCAGCAGTTCGATGAGACATTCCTGAATAAGAGAAGATATCATGCATGCGATAAAAATTATAAATCAGAATAATTTGACTTATATGTGAAAGATCTATTATTTGTGAATTATTTTAAAACAAATACATGCAGCTGAGTGTCGAAAATTCGCATAGTCTAAAATGAACTCTTGGGGAACAAAGCACACGCTTCTATGTCCCTAAGTGGCTGTAGATACATATCATAAAATGTTCTAAGGCAGTCAGAAGCAAGAACAATGAATTATTTTAGAGTAAAATTTCAGGGGGACCACGTGAAACAAAATTCCATCATGTGTTCAAGTTTACTTTCTTGGGCCACCAAATTGAAAATTTTCGACTGAGATGGAGAATGAATACATAGGTAGATATATGTGATTGAATTTCTTTTGAAATTATGAAAATAACCGATAAAGATTCCCAATGACCAGATAGAAAAAGATAGTTCAAGGAACTGAAAGCAGCAGAGACTCAAGATAATACACCAGATCAACATGCCCGATATAAGTGAAAAGCTACGACCGCAATCAAGATCTGAGATGACAGAAAGACATGTTAACATGAAACTACGGCTTCAATTAACGTGTATACCCATGATGATAATTAATGTCGAATCAAACGCACCTTGAAGTGCCGATGATCGAAGTCTTTGGAGGGCGGAGGCGGTACGTCGCTGCTGGGGATGTCAAGCTCCTGGGCCCTCAGGACAAGCTTCATTATTGCGTCCGCGTACATGTCGTTGCGGGGATTTGCTGCCCACTAAACTAATCATTAACGCTGTGTTTGACTATTTGCAGACACTATCATTAGTTATCAGCTCACGAGAAAGCAAAAAATTTTATTCGTTACCAGTCAAATAACGTCTCCGTAGTGAATCTAAAGGATGCTTGAAATTCCGCAGTATAGCACCTTTCAAACTTCATGATGCTTATCATACACAAAACTATGCCCTAATTTCTAACAGAATTAAAGAAATCTACGCTCAATGCAACCCCTGTGCCATTAGCCTCGGTGCTTGCAATTCCGCAGCATACCACCTTTCGAACTTGACAAGGCGTATCGTAAACAAAACTAAACTCTGATGTCTAACAGAACTAAACCGATCTACACATACAGGACATCGAAACAAAATGCAGACCTGGGCTGGACACACTCGGAGCACTCACAGGAACAACATTCGGACAGAACAAAGAAACCCTCACACTAGTGTACAAGCAATACATGCGCTCAGTGCTGGACTATGCAAGTCCAGCCTGGGCACCCATAATTTCACCCGCACTTCACAAGCACCTACAAACCATACAAAACACAGCCCTCAGAATCGCAATTGGCAGCACCCAAACCACACCATCCAGTCGCGTCCATGCAGAAACCAAAGTCCTCTCTATGAAAGAACACCTAGACATGAGAGGCGCCCAATTCCTTGCATCAGCGCTCCACAATCCCCTCAGTCCCTGCCATTACTTTCAGTACCTGCCCCCCACACCCAGACATATTGCCAACACTCCATACAACTACTATCTCACAATAATTAATTACATACCTCCGCCCACAGACCCAGCCACCTTCATTAAACACATACACAAACACCTAACCCGGAACGCACTCTTAAATCCACCAATCAACAGCATCATTGATGACATACCACCAGACATCAGCCATACAGAACAGCAGTTGAGCCGTGCAGACAGGGTGCACCTCAGCAGACTCCGCTGCAGTCACCATGCCTCGCTAAACTCTTACAAACACCGCCTGGACAGCACTCAAACGGACCTGTGCCCCCAATGTCAAGCACTCCCCCACACCGTCAAGCATCTTCTGCTGGAGTGCCCGGAGCTGGCAGCACTGGCTCGGGTGGCGGCTTTCCTCCGCGGCGCGGGCTTCCTGGCGTGACCGGGGCTCGGGGAACATCAACAACAACACACAACACAGACCTCGCGAGCCATTAGCCTGGACGCTTGCCACTCCGCAAGAAAGACAAAACGAACAGGGCACGGCGCATCAAAATTAAAACTAAACTCTAACTTCCACCACAATTGCAGCGATCTGCATTCATAACAACCCTCACGAGCCATTAGTCTCGACGAGGCATATCACCTCGAGCACGACGAGTGGCGGCTCATGCAGGACGGTGACGGTGTCGATGACTCTAAGGACGTCAGTGGGCACGAGGGCGTCCTTGTCGGATCGGTCGTCCTGCTCGGCCATGTACTGCTGGGGGGAGAGCACCTCGATGTCGGCGAACATGCAGGCCAGCAGGTAGTGGAGCAAGGGGAAGCCTCCCGTGTATGCCACGCTCATGCGCTGACTGATGCGTGACGACGAGAGTTGCGTGTATTCTGCACACCGTGTAAACTGTTTAGGGGAGAGTATTCTGCACACCGTGTAAACTGTTTAGGTGAGAGTATTCTGTACACCGTGTAAACTGTTTAGGGGAGAGTATTCTTTACTTCACATTGACTGTTCAGCTAGAGAATTTGCTTGTCATGTAAGAGGATCATTGTAAAATACAGAAAATTTGGTCCGTCTTGGCCTGTGGTTCATCATCTTTTTCCCTATACTGCCAATATAACATGCCACAATAACATGTAACCCGTTTCTTACTCCCAACAAAACGTATATATTAGTGGAATATTGTCACAACGAATACTTGAAATATTATGGTACAAATCCTGAGCATTCAATTTATGATACAAATAAATTTATTTACGTTGAAACGCACCGGAATTAACCATGAATTTAATAAGACCCCAGGAATCTAGTGCAATATGGCGAAGGAATCAAGGCAGTTACGGGCCAAAGAGAATCATAGTTCAACTACGAAAGGCAGGAAGGTGGTGCTGAATGCAATGAAAACATCATCATTTAAGTTCATTGACACAGATTGTGGCAATGAACTTGAACACAGCTATGCCACTTTCATTACTTCGATCGTAATAATACTTGAAGTACATAAATTATTACATGAAGTACATAAAAATGAAGTACATAAATTATTTGTACTCAAGTTGTAAGCAAGAGAATAATTATCAAACACCGACAACGTGGTTATTAACTCACTGTTCAGTTCAGCAGGAGACACGATATGGCAGTTGAAGTTCTTCTTTATCAATATTCCTGAAATGATCTGGTCTTCCTTTGGCTTCTCGATAACGAGCTCGCCCATCATCTGCAACCAATATCACTTACTGAATACATAATTTTACTTTTACTACTTTACATTAACCTATACTTACTTAAGGTTATAACAGTGCTATTGTTGACATAATGTAAAAAAAATTACGATGCAGGAAAGAATCAAGCGAAAATAATCCGGAACTCTTGTGATCAAGAACAAACCGTTTTCTGACTTATATGGATCTTTAAAATGAAGTTGCTTTGGATAGCTAATACGTACTCCTTTTCATTATATGAAAGTGCACCTTGGGTATCGTAGGTGCACCGTAGTGCACCTTGGGTATCTTGAAAGTCCTGGCCGGCACCAACTGAGGCTTCTTAGATGGGCAATTGAATATACAAAGGAGCGAGTGTTCACCACGGCATACACCAAATCAATTCAAACGTTGGTACTTGCTAACCTGCTAAGCTCGTGTTCTCCCATATCCTTCGACTATATATGTTTACATTGAGAGAATTTAAAGAAACAGTTGGAAGAGCACCAGCATAAAGATGAACCTACACAGACGTATACCTTAACCTAGTTTTATTGGTGTCGATAAAAGTCGAGCAGGTGACTTTACCAGCCAAGAGAACTAGGAGGCGAGCAGCAAACAAAATCGATAAAGTCGAGAAAATTCATGAGCTCGGATTTGATCAGTGATTCAAAAATTATTAAATCATTCAAGCCCGATGATGTAATTTGAAATTAAATAAGTCGTGAATTCATCTACGAATGATTCCATGAATGTGATCAAGATAAATGAGCATCAAAGAACCCCTTACCTTTGCCATCTTCTCGCCTTTGAAGTGGAAGGACAAAGTGTGAAGATTTTTTGGATTGAATACTTTGAGTGGATTTTCTTTGTCTTCATACTCGCGCTCCAGCGCGCTCTTGAGGCGACCCATCTCGTGCATCTCGCCGTGAACCAAAACCTGCCAGAACAACATGTTCAAGAATACCGTGACGCCTTCGTTCCTCAAATTCTTCAAATAATCTGAGTTTTTAAGTCCCAGGCTACGCTGGTGCACCGCCTGAGCTAGACACCAACTCTGCATGACAGATTTGGCAAAGACCATATCCATCGTGCAGCTAAAGTCGAGGATAAGTTTGGTCAGCCACACAAAACTATAATAATTTACTGCCAAGACAGAGTACCCTGAAATGTAACAGAACATATTTAGTTAATTGTTCTCATAGGAAAAACGTGGCTTTATAATTTTTCAAGAAATTTATGCTTCGTTGTCCCTTTTATTGTTTTGAAGAATCAGATATTTTTTGTCTAAATAAATAAAAAATATTCCTATCGTTTTGATTTAAGAGCCAATGTATACACAGAAATGTAAACAGACTAAGACTATTTGAAATGCACACAATTTGGGTTGTTGTGATCCGTGTAAGCAGGAAAGACAGAAATCAAATGAGTGATTTGCATGCACGATATTGGGCGGGCTTTGCACATGCCGAAAACACGGTAAAAAATCAAATAGTTAGTATATTGTACGCACGACATTGGGCGGGCGGACGGTCCTGACGAAGTGCGAGGTCTGCTCAAAGTCGGTGTGCGCCGAGAAGCTGATGTACTCAACCGTGCAGCGCAGAGGCAGTTTCTGACCAGACAGCGACGTGATATCCTCAGGCTCCTGTAAGATCTCTTTTGCTAACGTTCCTTCCACGCAGTAGCCTGTAACAAAGTTCCAAGCTCAGAAGTAATCTCTATTTGTGTTTTACATTAGCAATCCAAAAAGTTATTTTAAAATTTAGTCTGATACTCTAGTCCTGGATTCAATGAACAAGAAGTTAGTTAGTTCAGTGGCCGTAGTTGCTAGCGCTTCAGGTTGAGCTACAATGAACAAGAAATGACCTGCGATGATGACGCCGTTGTTGGGGTCGGTGCACCACATCTCGAAGAGCTCCCTGGAGAGGCCGCTCTGCATCATACCTGGCGAAGCCATGATCACGCACGGCCCTACGTCTTCGAACTGATCCATGCCCTGCACAACACGGCAGACATCATTCGCATTAAAATATTCGTTGTGTCAGAACTGACATGACAATCTACTTTAGATGCGTTAAACTAGCTAGGCAATGGTGTGTTTGAAATGGCAAGACAAGCTTACCCTGACGTGTCTTAACTGGCAAGGCAAGCTTACCTTGATCTGCTTGAACTGGCAAGACAAACTTACCCTGATATGTCTTAACTGGCAAGGCAAGCTTACCTTGATCTGCTTGAACTGGCAAGACAAGCTTACCCTGATATGTCTTAACTGGCAAGTGATGTGTTTGAACTGGTAAACAACAGATAACTTGCTAACCTTGAGGTTGGCGGTGTGTTTGAACTGGTACACAACAGATAACTTGCTAACCTTGAGGTTGGCGATGTGTTTGAACTGGTAAACAACAGATAACTTGCTAACCTTGAGGTTGGCGGTGTGTTTGAACTGGTACACAACAGATAACTTGCTAGCCTTGAGGTTGGCGGTGTGTTTGAACTGGTACACAACAGAGATAATTTGCTAACCTTGAGGTTGGCGATGTGCTTGAACTGGAAGGGATTGTCAAGGGCGATCTGGTTCCTGATCTTATCGTTCATTGCGTGCGTGTAGGTCTGGTAGACGCTCATGCACTTCTTGGCCAGCGACGACGCGTAGTAAATTGGGACGTCGTGCAGCTCAGGGTGGTTCTGCCAGAACTCATCTGTACGGCGTGGCAATGTTTATAATAAACTCTATATTAATGATTCATAAGTATTTATCACAGAAATGAATAATCATACAGCTATATAATTTAAGAGATACAAACGAAGATACTTTTTGTTGCAAAACGTCCCAAATATGGCATTGATAATACTATATGAATGTTGAAAATAGTGTCCTCATCGTGCCGTATGATGCAAGTGTTTAACAAGAATGAGGCGAGTGTTCACCAAGTATGAGGCGAGTGTTCACCAAGTATGAGGCGAGTGTTCACCAAGTATGAGGCGAGTGTTCACCAAGTATGAGCAGCAGTTCCTGGGCGCGGCCGAGAGCAAAGACTGGGATAAGGCAGCGGCCGCCGCGCGTCACGATCTCCTTGACGGTTTTAGTGAAGCGCGACTCGCGGCTCTCGCGGGGCTCGTGGATGCTCACGCCGTACGTCGACTCGATCATCAGGATGTCAGGTCTTATTTGTGGGATCTCGGCCATCATGAGGTGACGGTCTTCTTGTCGTGAGAAGTCCCCAGTGTATAAAACCTGCAACCAAACAGAATATGTTGGTAGTTGTCATTGCTGTCATATGCAATTTATTTATAAATAAAAGATGCATTAAACTTCAAAACGAATTTTATTTGTTCTGGGAACAAACCAGACTAGACCTTTAGATGCAAATTACATTGAAGACAATTAAACAATCTGCACTAAACTAACTACCCTAATTATCCATCCCACAATTAATTTAACGTTGAAATAACGATGACTGAACGATTTCTTCCAAGTAATAAACTCGTAAGCAACGTTCTTCCAACGTCATTTGTCTAGATGATGTCCACAGACCTTGACGCCGGCAATCTGTATCATGAACATGGCTGCCCCCAGCACATGGCCAGCGTGGTAGCACCAGAACTTGATGCCGGAGACCTCACGCTCCTCGTGGAAGTTCACGCAGTTGATGCGCGATAAAGACGCCTCCAAGTCGCTCTCTGAGTACAGCATCTGCTCCGATGACAGGTTACTGTCAAGTTATACAAGAACAGAATTATACATCACGCAGTCTGAGTATAGCACCTGCTCTGATGACAGGTTACTGTGCCTTATCTGGTTACGCTGCCTTATCTGGTTACTACAAGAACAAAATTATGCATCACGCAGCTAGTGCAGGGCCGCGATGTCAGCAAGCCACCTATTGGTTTTCTGACAGGTTACTGCAGATTGTTGTAAATGAATAACTTCAAACACTTGGAAAAATTGTTTTCAATTATTCATCATAACAAAAACATTCGAAAAAGATACATCCTACAAGAAAATTGTTTGAAGTATTCCTCATAGCCATAAAAAACGGTTAGGCAGTATTACCTTAACATGATAAAAACGATGGTGTTCAAATCAGGCAAACGTTACCCTTTTCACCAACTGAATTATTTGTGGGATATTTGTATTTACATTGAACAATTTTCATATCTATGCTGGATAATAATATTTGGTAGTGGTCCAACTGCAAAAGTTAACATTTTAGAAATCCACCATGAAATTTTTTTAGAAATCTACTATGAGGAAATTTTAGAAATCAATCACGAGGAAATTTTAGAAATCTATCATAAAGATGTTATAAAGAAAGAAAAGTGTATAGCTCAAAAAAAAAAAAAAAAGTTGACGAGTGGAGTGAGCATCAAAGAAAGTACCTAATGCGTCAAACAAGAAACTTACATGATGCATGGAACTCATGACATGATGAAGCATGCATATGAATCATTGACATTATTAGAAAACTCAAAGAAAAATATATTGAAATGTACATAATATATATAGGTACATTGAACAGTAGGTATACTATATGTACTACCTACTTATACAGATGTATAAGTGGAAAATTTTCATTAATAACCGTTTGTGCATTATCGGCAATTGTTTATTTCTATGTTTACTTTAATTCACCACATGTTTTGATAAAAAATGTGCATTGGCATTTGTGGATTAAGATTAGACCAAATTTCAGAATTCTAAATAAATTAGAATGGGACCAAATATTTTGAAGAAGCAAATTGACTTTTATACTACCTTCTGACCACAAATTTGGGATCAAACCTCTTGAGTTCTGGTTAACTGTCTGAGACCTAAAGGAGTCAAAATAAACAAATTTCCCCACCCTTGACATAAAAGTTGAAATTTATCAATTAAATTTGGAGCAAAACCTCTGAGCTAAATAATGTATAAAAATAATGGTAGAGAATAGAGAATTTCATCATCAGCATCAGCCACAGAAACTACTTTTGATGAAACAAAGCAGATCAAGGGATTAATGTACTAAATTAGTTTCAAACTTTAATGCCGTCATGGATAATCTAGGGCAAACCTAGGTTTTGAAATTTATTTAATTTTTTTTTCAGGATAGCTTAATGCTTTTCTGAGCAAAATTTTAATTAGCTCCAAGCCTCTAGCAAAATTTAACTTATTAGAATTATAATATATCTCAAATCAGTCAATTGTTGATGAAGGATATATGATCAGTGTTTTTTCCCTTGAGTGTCCAAGATGCAAGCATTAAAGAACATTAGTTGAATGGTGGAAAATATCAACAAGGTATGCTCAATGCATTCAAACAAAATTGTTTATAGAAATATCTTCCATCCAAATTTACATAACCTGCAGCAGTATTTGTACCTGACTTTGATGTAATCAGCAAGGAGCCATTTGTAAATAGCTTTTGTAGGGTGAGTCATGTAACATCTGCCTTTGAACTTTGTCCTCATGAGGAACCAAGGGAGGCCACCAGCATGGTCGAGGTGGAAGTGTGACACCAGCAGCAAGTCAATGGAGGCCGGGTCAATGTGATCACTGAAGGGTAGAGCTGACAGTCCACTCAGGGCAGGGTGAATGCCAAAGTCCAACTGAAAACATCAATATTTTAGAAAGCTACCATGAAGAAACTTCAGAAATCTTTCATAAAAACGTTAAAAATAAAGAAAAATGTATAGCTCAAATAAAAGTTAACAAGTGAGCATCAAAAAAAGTAATGCATCAAACAATAGGCTTACATGATGCTTGGAACTCATGACATGATGAAGCATGTATACAAATCTTAGACATCATTAAAGAGCTCAAAGAAAAATATATAGAAAGAAATATTAACACTTACAATAGAATAACAAAGAATATTTTTACCAGAACTTTCTTTCCTTTGAATTCCAGAAGATGGCAAGATCTGCCAACTTCTTGACCAGAGCCCCTGCAAGAAAGAGAGAATAGATTTCAAAATAAAAATATCACTCAGGACTTATTGGGTTCAATGTGTGCAAGTTATTTAACATGTATAGCATCTCCTGCATATTTATATACCTACCTACCTAGTATGTTTCTATGAAATATTTTCAAAGAATACCTATTCATAAAGTAATTCAATGCCAAATAAAATTTCTTTCAGATATCATAAAGAGACTAAAGTTAATTTATGATGCACCAATAATCAATTCCTGGATATCAAAAGAGCATAAAACCTTGTTTCCGTTTGCTTAAGGGGAGCATCTTGGCCAAAATAAAAAATTCTAACTTTTCCGCTTCTTAGGATCATTTTAAATCTCCAGCAACTGCGCATTTAAGGAGCCCAAAGTCATGTTTGTGTGTTCATTTGTTTGTTCACAACAGCTGTCTAAGCACACGCATGAGCTATACCTTCAATGATCACAAATTTCAGTTATTTTATATCTCCACAAAAGTAGAAATTTTCATCTTAAAAATCTGTCTTATCCCAAGATTTTCAACATACAGCAATGAGAGCTATACCATACCATTTGATTTGTAAAAAAATCTATCAATTCTCTAGTCATTTTTTTTTTTGTTTTAGTTTGGATTATACATATATTGAAAAGAGGGGTGGGGGTAGCAAAAACTAAAAAAACAAAAATTCCCATACCCAAAAAAATTTGAATTTGAAAAAAGTGGTTGGGGTATTGCTAGATATGGTCTTTACAAATCAAATGATATATCATGCAATGTTGTAGCATGTTAATTGAATGAGGTACAGTACAGATTTTTACAGTACCCCCTCTTTTGCCCTTTTCTAAGAATTTCATGTTTCTTCAATTTTTTTACAAAAAATTTAAATGAACAAAAAATCTCAGATTTATGTTTTACACATGTGTAGCAAGTTTTAAAATGATTTGTGCATAAATAAAAAAAGTTACTTTTTTGCCAAGACGTTCCTCCTAACTCAATATAATCATGACATCACCAGAAAGATCATAACTATATATTTATATACCTGTGTGTAGTACAAATAGAGTCATATTTTATCATTTCTAAAACTGAATCCATCAAAAAAGGTCAAAACTGATATATGTATACATATTAAATTTTGGCATGTCAATTTTTTTTAATTTAATTGTAGGTATATCAAAAGTACATAGGTTTGTATTGTTGGCCTAGGATATAGTATGAACAAAACTATAATTTCTTATTTCTATCTTTTTTTTTATTCAATAGCAACCTAAGACAAAAAAAAAGAAAAAAAAGTGAACAACAAAAATTTGAAAATAAACACTCTGATCAACATTTAAAACTACCTAAATATCAAACATGAAAGATCACTTAAAAAATTATTTTAAAGAAATTAGGAAAATTCATTTTGAATTGATTTCATTGGGCAATTAAAAGGTAAAATAAATGCATATAAATAATTACAATCAATGTTACATATTACCATTGTTATACAAGATTTTAATATTTGTACAAGTCTACTTACAGAGGTGTGATACGTAGTTCATCACTGTCATCTTCCAGTGGCAATAAACTTTGTATAGGAGTCCCCATTGCAAGAAATTATTCAACAAACTTACTATTATTACCTATGATTCTGAAAACAGGTAAAAAGATTCAAATATGAGGGAACTGGTTCATCAACAACTATAAAGTAGTACCTATCTACTTCCCAAACCACAAATTAGGCTTTTACACCTTTTTTGGTCAAAGGAATTCTGATAGGCAATTTTTATTATAAATAATTCTTAATGCAACTGGGCAATTCAGCCACAAGCCTAAAACAGGCTTGAAACATATCCACTTCCAAATTCATTGAAAATAACTTGAAAGTTTGAAGCAAGCAAGCAGCCAAATTTTAGCATTAAGCATAGGAACCCCAATTGTGAGCCACAAATCACAATAATTATTATCCATCCTGAAATATTGCACATAATTTTCCTATATTAGTTGGTAAAAACAATTGTTCTTTTGGGCAACTCTCAATTATTAATAGCAAAAAGCCAAGAATGGCAAGATAGAATTAAGTCAAGGGCCATAAGAAAGGTGAAATTTAATGAAAGCATGGATGTTTTTATCTCATTCATGGGTTGCTTTGTTATGATCACAATACTGTATAATAATTATTTGTTTATTTGAATCTGTATTTATCTTTGTCATTCTGAAATTTTCTGAGCTCATCTTTTATTTTCTTTATCTTTCTCAACATATTTTTTCAATTGTTAGTTAGACTTGGGAACTGAATAAATGGTTCTCTGGAGAACGACATGTCCCTCATTGGGGAGAATATTTTGATAGGGGTTAGTCAGTTAGCGGAGGTTGAATGTGGAGCCTTGGAGGTCATATGGACACAGTGTAATTAAGTTCATGAATTCAACGTCAGTAATTGTGTCTTGTTTATTATCCTCCAAAGACAGTGTACTACCAAAACTATACGATCGTAAGGCTTTTATAAAGTGGTAGCCACATGTAGACTGTGGCGGCGTGTGCGCGACGATAGCTTCATCCCAATTTCCCAGAAGCCATAATGGCAGAATGGCTCCCAATTAAAAATGGGCATGGAATATATCTCCATTTTGACTACAAGCCAGTAGCCACACCCTAGTTGGGAGTGGGGAAAAGTCCTACTTTTTTCTGAAATACCAGTATATAATTTCAATAGGTATGAAATCTTGTGGTTCTATTGTCATGTATTTGTGTTTGATTGAAAAAATTGCAGTTTGCGCTTTGCAAACATGTCATTTCATAAAATTTTCAACTTCCGCAGTAGTACTGCTCCATCACGTCTTTGTTGTATGGGTATCCTGGCCCACATGTGGCCAGGTGCACCTGGCAAACTGGTGAGACAAGCCAAATGGCAGAAGCCCCCTCTGCCCGGTTCACTCACAGATGAAGACACTTCCTGCTTCATTTTTTTGCTCAAGGGTCAGGGAACCACGGCCTCCTCTACCCCTACCCAAATCTTTGGCAGCTTACCTTCCTTGGGTTACCCTATGCCCAGATAATGCCCTGCCCCCTTCTCACCTCTTCTCCCTGCTCGTCCTTCTTATCCTAACCCAGGGTATCCATCCCAACGGCCCAACCCTGGCCTGCACCCTTGTTCAGTCTGCACTCTCCCGGTTATACGTCAAGGATACTCGTTCCTATGCTCCAGATGTAACACCTGGACTCACAAGTGGTGCTATGGTCTGCACTCCACCCATCTCTACTCAGCAGACTGGCTCTGCCCTATGTGCAGATCATAGTGACAAACCAGAGATTTTTTAGAATTAGTTCATTTCTAATTTCCTCATTTACCTAAGATTTAAACCAATTTCTTATATATGATAATGCTGGTAGCCAGAATACTTTACTGGTCTACTTATGGGACTAAAAAATGAGCTTGAGGAAGAGTCTAAAAACTCTCTGCTTTGCCACTATGGTGCAGATGGTCTGACTTGATACCGTAATAGCTACAATTACTCTCCACATCACGCACCTCTATTGGTGCACGGGGATCATGACCCCATAAAGCGCACATTGCACAAAATGAACACAGCGTTTATTGTCCACATCATGTACCCCACACTCAGGATGATGTATGTTTTCGGTGAATTTTCCTGCGCATTTTCACTTTTTTTAAGCTATTGCTGATTTGCTGTGCACAGTTGGCGCAATGTAATGAAAATTGATTATCTTTGCGCACGTGTTCGCGCAATCCCGGCCATCAATTCTACGTCGCGCTGCCCTGCACGAGCAGTTTGTGGAGGAGCAGACGTAATACTCACATTACTCAGTACAGTATGCCTTTAATTATCTTTCAATAATATATGATTTTTCTTGATACGGAAATTTGGTGAATGAGAAATCTAGAACTTTATTTTAGAAGAAATTTTCTCCAAAGTCATATGGCAACACTGAACACTGTCTGTTTACATTTCGTATGTATAACAGCCGCAGTTTACGATTACCGTACGTTCCGTATCCGACAAGGCGGACAAGAGGAAGAGTCAGAAGTAACCCAGACATGTCTTACATTTTATTATTGTCAGTTTGACTCGCGTAGTCAATATACTCGCGTATATTGTCGACTAAAATAGTAGAACTATTTTAGCTTTCTAAAGTACGGCGCACGGCGCATTTTTTTACCAGCATAGTACGGCACACCGCGCAGGTTGTAAAAATGACAAAATAAATTCCCGCGCACCTGGCACATCTTCCTGACCATGGCATGTACCACATTTGTCCCACGGATTTTATAACACCAAATGTTTGTACTTACGTTCATAGAGCAACACACAACACAACCTCTCTTCCTGGCTCAATGACAATGGTGAGTGGTGACTGAAGCAATCGTAGTTTGAACGAGGTCGAGATGCAGGCTGAGGCAGGGCATAATGGCGATTCTCGGAGATGCGGTTAAAGTGTTAACTACTAATTTTTTGGGCTCCTCTAAATATTTGGTATTATTTTGTAAAAGACCCACTGGTGGGTCATTTTGCAGCAGAGCCAGATCCATGGTCAGGAAGATGTGCCAGGTGCGCGGGAATTTATTTTGTCAATCTAACAACCTGCGCGGTGCGCCATACTATGCTGGTAAAAAAATGTGCCATGCGCCGTACTTTAGAAAGCTAAAATAGTTTAAATATGGATGTGCGGCAACGCAAATTACGCAATCGCACTTCGCACTGACCGTGCACACAAACGTGTAGGTATCTGCCTTGTGTTGTGGTTGGATATGAGTTAACTAGATTGCTAATGCGTCAACTCAGTTTCTAAGAGTCAGCACAGTTATGAATATTCATTCATAGATCACAATTCAATCGGACACGAATTACAAAACTAAAGAAGGCAACATGGCTCTAGATGTGCCATCGGTGCCTTCTAATGAATGACTGGAGTCTGGACTGGTTGCGGCAAGTAGGGTATGAGTCAACAGTACGAACCTGCATGCCAATGTTGGGACTACATTCCCAACATCCTCCCGGCCGGCAAAATTGACACGATCAATACCTAATAACAATGCGCGTATATGGACTATACAAATTAGGACAATACGCCATAATTACAGAGCGTTATTAAACTATGCAATAAAAAATATGAATATATATATTTGCAAGATAAGTCAATGGTCTGTCGTTTATTTCTGCTTCATTTAAGCAATTATGGTTTCCAAATCTGGGTGCGTTATGTTATGTCATGTGTACTTTGAATGTGCAAAAATTATAACTATCATATGAAAATTGTTACGCAGGTTATCATAGCACGAATCGCCATAGAGTATTATGATTGCAGTTCTGCTACCACCCTTCATTGAATTATCCCGCCTTTTTTCTAAAATTCAATATTATTATTATTCCACAAAGAGATTGTCGTGGCGTCTCGTTCAGATCGAACTTTGAGGGCACGTTATAAGCGGCTAAAAAAGACACGAGAGGAATAAAAACCGATGATGTCTATGCTAAAACAAAGGACATATGCCAAGACTGACGACGTCTATGCTAGAACAAACAACACCTATGCTAAACCAGTAATATCCATGATAGATTAGATGACGGCTAGATCTAAGATTCAAAGGCGTCGATTCTGTTTTTAGGCGTCGACGAAACAACGGCAGCGAAGAAGCAGATGTCACCGATGCTGGCAGACCATTCCATGTTCTGGCCGCAGCGACCGGGAACGCTCTGTTGCCGACAGTGGACAGACGTGAGGATGGGACAACGAGGTCAGCCTTCAACGAGGAACGCAGTCGCCTTCTAGAAGGCAGATCCGACACGCGCCGTAGGGCATCAGCAAGATAAGGTGGTGCTAAACCATGGAGGCAGCGAAACGTCAGAACAGCGACTTTAAACTGTGTGCGCTGCTGGATGCGCAGCCAGTGAAGATCACGCAAAATCGGTTTTGTGGTCGAATTTCCGCCAGGCACAAACGAGTCGCGTGGCAGCGTTCATTACGAATTGCAGTTTGTTAAGTGCCGTGATGGGAAGTCCGTAAAGTGTGGCATTGCCATAGTCCAGCCTGGTCAGCACAAGCGCCACCATGAGGACCGGCCTCGAGAGACAGCGACTGATGCTACAAATTTGCTGCAGGATGCCAAAACAAGCAGCGGTTACTTTGGCAATGTGGTTGTTCATAGATAGTTCTGAGTCCAGCTGAATGCCAAGGCTGCTTACAGGTGCGATGAACTCGTCGCCCACGCGCACAAGGTTGACTGGAAGCTGATATTGGCGATGAGCGGTCGCGAACCAAATAAATTCGGTTTTCGATGCATTGAGCTGGAGCTGGTTGGAACGCATCCAGTCTGAAACGGCGTCCATGCAGGCAGACATCCGGTCTTGCAGCGCTGCAGCGTCCGCCGCCGCACAGTAGCCATAGATTTGGGTATCGTCGGCAAACATGTGCGGATTCAAGCTGTGTGAATCAATTATGTGCAACACGTCGGCAGTATACAGCAGAAAGAGGATTGGGCCGAGGACCGACTCCTGTGGTATGCCGCAGGTGACCGTCGATGGTGCAGAAGAGGAGAGCCTCTGACAAACACATTGGAGTCTATTGTTGAGGTAAGACTCGAATCACCGCAGCACCGTATCGCGCAGGCCATACGATACGTCTAGCCGACGCAACAAGGTGGCGTGGTTGACCGTG